GCTGGGAGGGGCAGGGGGGTACTCCCGCCCTTCCCCTTTATCTCGCCTCGCCTCTTCCCAGGACAAAAACCCAGAACTTCTGCCGCAATGAGTACAACCTGACCGGCCTGTGCAACCGCTCCTCCTGCCCGCTGGCAAACAGCCAGTACGTGACTGTCAGGGAGGAGAAAGGTGAGAGCCTGGCGGCTGCCGTGAGCAACCCCTTGGGCGGGGAGGGGGCGAATACCGCCTGCCCGAGGGCACCCCAGCGCCGGGCACTCTCCCCCTGTCAGTGACGTGCTCAGTCTTTCTCCGGGGATCACACTCCTCTCTTCTTCAGGTCGGTGTTACCTGTACATGAAGACGATAGAGCGGGCGGCTTTTCCCCGTCGACTCTGGGAGCGGGTGAGTTAACGAGAGCGGACCGCTAACGAAGCGTGCTCTAATGTAACACACCGAGAGGCGGTGGAGGGCAGGGAGCGGTGGCGCTCCTCCCAAGAGCAGATGTGTCCCCGCTTTGTTGCCACTCTGTAGCTCAACCCTTTTCCAGGTCCTGCTAAGCAAGAACTATGAGAAAGCGCTGGAGGAGATAGACGAGAACCTCATCTACTGGCCGCGGTTCATCCGACACAAATGCAAGCAGCGATTTACTAAGATCACACAGTACCTCATCCGCATCCGGAAGCTGACGCTCAAGCGACAGTAAGTGACACAACTAAGAGCGATCGCGTTGGTTTGGCTTGTGGGGCGGCTGCCTGTCCGCTGAGCCACTGTCACTGGCTGTACGCGCAGCCCTAGCGCACCTACCTGTTTTCCTGAGGCTTTGGCAGGCTTGTAAATGAACCTGGCTGAAATGGATTTAACTGCAGTGTAGTCTGCGTATGTAAATGCACTTAAACTAGTTGCGGCCACATTTCTAGTGATACAACTGCTGGTTCCTGCCCCAAATGAGCATTTGCTCATCTGCTACGCAAGAAGGAGGCTGGCAGATTCGCTAACTAGCACACGTTGTTCCCTGTAGGAGGAAGCTCGTTCCCTTACGCAGAAAGATTGAAAGGCGAGAGAAGAGAAGAGAGGTAATACCACTCCTTCATGTGATCTCCTGTCCACTGCTTCTGTTCCACGTCTTTCAAACAACTGACACAGCTCCTTTTTGCTCCATTAGGAGAAAGCCCTGATCGCCGCTCAGCTGGATAATGCCATTGAGAAGGAATTACTGGAAAGACTGAAACAGGATACGGTAAGGATCACTGCCTTCAGAGCACAGCAGTAAAACTGCTCCTACTGCCCTCCGTCCGGCTGGTTCTCTGGGAGGGACACGGGCGTTGGTGTGAAAGAGAAGCACCACCCACATAGGAGGGGTAGGGGATGACTGCACGCTGCCCTTCTTGAGTGGCTTTGTAACAGGCTGGAGGACTTGCTTCCCCAAAACACAGAGCCCCTCATTTTCTGTACAGGAGTGCGTACTTCAGAATTAGGGAAGGGGCTGAACCACAAGTTCACCCTAGTTCGATACTGCCTCCGCGCAGGCCATGGGCTGTCGATGACCCTACCACCACCAGCTGCCTTCCTCCTGTGACTTACAGAAAATCCACATTTTCCTTTTCAGTATGGAGACATTTACAACTTCCCCATTCACGCCTTTGACAAAGCTCTACAGCAGCAAGATGCAGAAAGCGAGAGCGAGTCCGATGCAGAGAAGGAAGAAGATGATGATGAGGTAATGCTTTCAGCCACAGCACCAGTTAATCCTTCCCTGACCTGGTGCAGCACCTCCGATTCACCCACCTGCTGGGCACTGTAGTGTGAACGTCGGGGTGAGAACACCACACTAGGAGAGGGGAACTCAGAAAAAGCATGTGTGTGCAAGCGGTGACGTCGATGGCTCTTCTGTTGCGAGTCGTGACGCTGTATTGTGCTCAGTGAGCATGCACTAGCTTCTGACTTTACTTCTTACAGGACACGGATAAAAGAGAGTTTGTGGAAGCAGATGACAGCGACCTCAGCGACTTTGAGGTAGGTGAAGCACCAGCGATAAACCGTCAGGCTAAGCTTTTTGAAAGTAACCTCCAACCTCTTGGTGTCGCTGGTGATGGGATAAGAGCCAGCAAAATCAGACTTGTGGTACACAATGATACAGTCAGACTGCACTGTATCCACTACACCCCAACTCCTCCGGCTAGACAGCTGGGAGCCAGGAATTATAAAATGGAATCGGATACATGAGATAATCTTGCAGAAAGAGGAGGTAAACAGCGTGCTTTGATGTCACTCTTGTCTTTCTTTTCAGGACATGGATAAGTTGGAGACAAGTAGTGAAGAGGAGCAGGAAGAGGAAGAAGAAGTAGAGAAGAAAGCCTCTCGCTCCAAATCTAAAGGGAAAACTCCACTGAAAGGACCAGCCAGAAGAAAACGTCCCTACATTGAAATAGAGTATGAAGAAGAAACAGAGCCAGCCACCAAAACAAAAGCAGCCTGACTCCTTCCTGAACCCGGATTTTGTACTGAATGACAGGACTCCAGATCCGTCACTAAAACTCCTTCCAGCTTTCACTGCTCTGTGCAGGACCCTCAATACTTACTCCTTTTTCCATACTCCAGACTAGTAATTTTCTTTAAGAAAAGAAGGGTTTCTGTCCCGACCCCAGGCAATCGCAGCAAGTTTGTACAACTCCTGCATGAAGTGCAGTTTTTACGGAAGACTTTTTTACTCCCCACCTTCTCTACAACCACAGAAGGCTCAGCTCGGACTGCGCTCTGGGAAGGAACCTAGACTGGGGGCACTGCTGCTTTGTTCTAAAGCTGGAGAAGCCCGCATGTGGCTAGGCGAGCGCACAAGTGTGTCTTGTTTGGGGCAGGCATGGGGCTAACAGGGGTGGGATGAAAGAGACAGCAACTTTAAATAAATAAAAAAAATTTACTGTACAAAGAGCGGGGGTGAGCATTGATCAGCCATGCCTCATGTGTTCTCTTGCACTTTTCTGATGCATTCCCGTACACGGTTCTCCTCACAGCTGCTGTACACGACTTCCAGCAGGGCCTGAAACAAGAAAAGCATCAGTTTCCAGTGCCTTGGCACACTCGTGTTTATGGTGTTATCAACCCTCCCCCAGCTATCTGTTGGAAGAGAATTCTACAAAGCATCTATAGATACCTGCTGGGATACATATATCGAGTCATTTATCAGTCAAGTACTAACTAGGTGGGTGGGTGGGAAGGGATGCTTTCAAAATACTGTTGGACTGAGGAAGCAAGTGGGCTCTCGCGTGCACCCTGCTGCCCCTTCTAAGGGGGAGGGGATCAGAGATGAAGCAGTGCTGGGCCCCCGGCTCACCTTCACTTGCCCTTCAGAGCAGCGGTCCAGCAGGATGAGGCATTCAGTGGCCCCCTGGAGCAAGGCGGCTTTTACCGGCTCTGGCGTTGAACCTTGGTCAGTGTGTACATCCCAGATCATCTTCAGCAGGGCTTTGAGGAGCACAGGGAGTCTGCAAGGCATTCTGCGGAGGGAAACGGCAACTGCTCCTTATTCTAAATCCCCTTCACAAGCCAGGGGAAAGCACAGCCTTGCTTAGCAGTTCCTAGACACTTCAGGCAGGAGCTGCTAGTTGCCATTTACGTCTGGAGCAGGACTGTAGCTGGCCTGAATGAGCAACTGCTTCAGTGAGGAGGCTGAAGACACTGCCTCCTTCAGTATGCCCACCAGAGGGAGGACGCAGGCCCTGAACACAGAGGTAACCTTAGGGTGGTGTATCGGGAATGCCGTTCATGCAGCCTAATTCACAGCACAGGGCTTACTCCACAGTTCTGCCGTGCAGAGAACAGAGGTTTAGTTTTTAGCCAAGTTGATGCTTCTAGAACAGGCAGAAGTCAGGTCAAAGTGAGGAGCTTAATTTTTGGGCCAGGTTTTTCAGCAAAGCAGTAATGCCAGTGATTCCTCCCTGAGACAGATTCTCCTTCAAGATTTCAAGGCCTTTTCCTCAAGCAACAGTAACTTTGGCTCTGAGAGAGTGACAGCATTCAAGATATGCTTTCTACAGTGTCTTTCACCCCCAGACAGGTACCTGGGCCAAGCGTGCTCTATGATGCACTGCAGTGTCTCCAGTATTCCCAGCCGGGCTTCTTCCTCAGGGCCATCACAGACTTCCAGATACCCCAGGATAACTCGCTCCAGCCTCTTCAGGTGCCGCACTATCAGGATGCCAAGCCTGCCGACACGAAGAAACACACACTGAGGAGGGAGATATATACCAAGGCCAAAGCAAGTCCCTGCAGGGCTGCGGTTGCTGCTCTCACCTCTGCACAAAGGCAGGCAGGGTCCTGGCGTACACCCGCCGCAGCGCAAGGCGATGCTCTGCCTCCATGTGGGTCAGAACCAGCTGCAGCACCTCATCGCAGGGGGTGGTTGGTCTGCCCTGCTTCTGCTGCCGCTGGGCTCTCTCCAGGATGGGCAGCAAATCCAGCAGGCACAGCAGTACTGCCTGGTTCGGTGCGAGACAGTAAATCTGGGCAGTCCTTTTGATGTTCTCTCCGAAACACCAGTAACTTCCAACCCCCCGACCACCCACAGCTGCTGCAGCTCCCCTGACAGAGCCGACCATTTCTACTACCTGCTACCCCTGTGACTGGCCCTCTTCAGCAAGGCTGCCACCTGGAAGGGGACAGGAGGCAAGAGGTCTTCCCTCCACTATGAGATTTTCCTGAAATCTAGAGTTACTTTGTCTCTTGGCCACAGACATCGGCTAGTAACAGCCTGACTGGACTGTCTGTGAGGAAACAGGTTCTGCCTCCTCATGCCTTAAGCTGGCTGTCCCTCATGGGGCTGATACGCAATACCACGAGGCAGATTAAAATGAAGTTCTGCTGTCCTACCTTGATGAGAGGGGCCTCTCGTGAATAGAGATGGTTGTAAAGGGCATGGTACACAACCTGAGCCCTGTTGAACTGGCACAGATCAGCAGCTGGCTGCAACAACAGAGAACAGAACATTATTCCCGTGCATCGCATTCAGCACCCTCTTAACCTAATAGAGGAGAACAACCTTCAGAAACCCAGGCTTTATTTAAAACAAACGAACAAAAAACACAGACCACCACAACCTTCACACATAGCCCACATCAGGAACACTGCTTACAGGAAAGTGGGAGCAGATGCTATAATGAATGCAGGTTAAACCCTGCCACGCACAGGAGTGGCCGCTTTACCTCACCTCCCCAGCTGCATTTTTGCAGTTCCAGTGGCATTACTTTAATATCCTGCTCTGCAAACCATTGTCAGGCCGATACGTGGATCAGCTGAGTTCAAAAGGTGGCATAGCAATTCTTTGCTTCGTGTTAACAGATGTAAGAGCTACACACATTTAAACACACCGGGACAGCGTGGAAGATGGAGCAGAATTGCTAGATTAACAGCAGAACCAGGATTACAAGTTAGGAATCCTAACAGGCGTCCAACCCACCCTTCATTCAAACAACACCCAGAAAGGGATCGAATTTCTCAAATCCCGTACCACGTTGAGAATGATATGATGCAGGCAGCGCACACCCAGGATTTTATTCTCCTCCCAGTAGTCGTCCGAGATGAGCAGCGATGGCGGGAGGACACGCTCCAGGTAATGGCTAAGCCAGGGCCGGGTGACATGAGGCAGCGTCCAGCAGAACACATGCTTCGTGGCAGGGTTACGCTTCCAAGTGTCTCTGGAAATACAAATGTAAGCTCAGTGAACGCTGGAACTAATGAGGGCTCATTTCCTATGCATTTATGCCTCTCAGCTGGCAGTAAGCGCTGACTGATTCACCCACCACCACCTTCCGTTACTGGGTATTTGTAAAGCTCTTGGCCCCATATTTATCATCTAGTGTTTTGTAATGCCTGAGCGCCCACAGTTTCCCAAAAGTTGCCAGTATTTCCTACCTAGAGACCAGCTAAACAGGCCACCCTCTCCACCTCTCCTCCCACCTCCCCCTCCTACTCACTTGGTTAACTCCTGTTTCAGGAGCCCCATCACTGCTGCAAATCTTCCTTCCTCATCTTCATTCTTTCCCCGAAGGAATTCAGCCACCGACCCGCAGCCTGCAGCCTGAACCAGCAACGCCAGCAGCTCCTGTGCCACCGACTGAGACCTCACGTTTGTCCAGGGCCTCTCCACAATATGTGTTGCAGCAAAGATGTAGATGGGTCCCATCACACGGCACAGGACTGGAGCCACCACGGGGACGCCCAGAGACTCCTGGGTCTTGGCAGCTTCCAGCTTCGCAAGGAGGTGTAGAAACACTGAGCCAACATCAGCCGCTCTCTCAGCTGCGGCAGTGTACGTGCTGTCCTTACTGAGGAGATCTGCAGCGTCTTGCTCCTGCTTTGGGGGTGCTGCGTAGCCATTCAGCGCAGCCACCAGCTCACCCAGCGTCGCAGGGCTCACACCTCCAAAAAGCCACCGGCAGTCTGCAGCCTCGACAAGCGCACCCAGGTCTCTGACCACGCCGGCCTTGGGGGCACCGCCGCCCCCCTCTGAGAAGAGCAGCCCGATCTGGGCGAGGACTTGCTCGGCCGGCGGGACAGCGGGGGGCGGCTGCTCCGGCTGTGCCCCGTCCCGCCGCCCCCCCGGCCCCCGGGCTCCGACCAGGGCGCCGGGCGCC